AGACTGAAATGGTGTATTGTCATGAGGGTGGGGTCATGAGCCTGGGCTATATAATGAGACCCCTGGATCAAAATAAAACACAAAAAAAGTTTTCACTTACCATACTTAGCCATTGAAAAGTGATCTATAATTTACACAAAAAGATAAACTAAATATTGACACATAGTAAATACGTAAATAACTACTACATGTGACAACTATACTACCACTAACTGATAGTTTTAATGGTGGCAGCAGTGATAGTGGTGTAGCAGACAAGCAAAAATAAGAAGGGGGTGGAGGCCTTTATTAACACTGAAGACACAGAGAGGATCCAAGCTAGGGAGATGGGCAGGTCCTCTGTCCTGAGACAGGGAGCCTGAGACTTATGGATTTTGCTAGTGTCAGAGTTTGAGGGGCAGGTTCAGCAACATACAAGGAGCTGATTGGAGGCTATCTTGTGTGGATGGGAAAGGTAAAAGGAAGTTGAATCCAGCGCTGGATTGGAGAAGGAGGAAGTGGTCATTGGGTAAGCTGTTTTGGAGATTCAGCCATGTTGAATCAGTGCCATGATAATTTAGCAGTCTGTACTCAGGCCGTAACCTATCATTCCCATCTTTTAGTTGTTATGAAGGGGTGGTGAATCTCTTAGACTGCTTCCTGCTTAATGGGGGCATCATGGGGCAGGCAAGGAGATTGATAGGATGATGGTTTGTGCCCATATAGAGGCTAGTGCCGGGCGTTTCAGCCAGGACAAGAAGTTTATCATTAGTGAAGACTCACATCTGAGATTGAAGAAATCTTGTGTGGCACCTAAAAGTCATCTGGGCAAACAGAGAATAAGAGATCAGCACCCAGATGGAAAAGCAATGCATGAGTTATCCTGGTGTTTTGAACCCTTAGTTAGGTGAAGATGTGTAGGTTACAGGAGTTGTGAAGACCACTCAGGTGACAAGGGCTCAGGATCAGGAAGAGTGTAGTTATTGTGTAGAGCGGAGTTGCCTGGACACCACTTGGCTCACATGATGTGGAACCAGGAGGGCAGGCTGGCTGGCAACTTTTAGCACTGTTGTTGTTAGGAGGATAACCAGGTGGGGGCTTGTCCACATAGGATCTAATCCTGAAGGCTTAGAAGATTTAAGATATATTAAATTTCCACGAAATATAGATAGCACCAATTGAGTGGTACCTATTGGTTATAGGAGGCAGGTGTCTATGTGTTGTTGGAGCAGGTACCAGATGAAGGATAGAACAAGAATATAGTCAGTGATCAGTGGAAGGTTATCAGGAGCAAGGAAGTTGTGAAGCAGTAAAAATCTCTCATACATGAGTTCTAATGGACTTTGGAAGGTGGTTGCCCTAGAAAGTGCCCTGAGTCTAGTTAGAGCTAAAGGAGAGAGCTGAGGCCAAGGCAAGTGTAGCTCTAGGATAAATTTGATGAGATAGGTCTTTAGAAGCACATTTTCCTGTATTTCCTGTTGATGTTTAGGGGCTATTGGATGTTGGGGAACATAGGGCAATGCTGAGGGATCCCTGAGGCAAACTAGTGCATAGTTACCATAGGTGGCATGAGTAGGACTGGAAGTATCCAAGTATGTGGTTGACAAGAGAAGAGGAAAGAGAGGGGAAGGACTTGGCTACATATTGAGGTTGGGTTTGTAGGATGAGCACTGTGGGAAGAGAGGTGAAAAGGAAGTGGAGCTTTTGGAGGAGATTTTTCCCCATGAGAAGTGTGGGGAAGGTTGGGATCACAAGGAAATACTGAGTGAAAGACAGTGTCTAGAATTGGCAGGGAATGGACCCTGTCTAAAGGGGTCATGTAGGTCAGCCATCAACACCCACTACGGAGACTGTAGATTTAATATAGTAACCTGCAATCTCAGTAGAACATTTGTGGCCTGTGTCAACAAGAAAAGAGGGGCCAGGGAGATGGCTCAGTGGAATAAGTGCTTCCCTGGCAAGCATACAGGCCTGAGTTCAATCCCC